GCGCGCCCGCCCCTCCTGCGTCCCCTCAGGACTCCCGCCCACCGCGCGCGCGCGCGCCCCGCTCCCTAGGGGAGCCGCCCTTCGACCCCTGGCGGTTCCCTCCTCGCCCTCCTCTCTTCGTTCCTCTGGGTCACCGAAGCGCCCGTGTTTTGCACCTTGGTGGCCCCCTGGAATCCCCGCTTAGCCGAGCCAGCCCTCGGGGGATCCGGCCGCCGGCCCCGGCCTCCGAGCTCAGTCCGCTTCTGGCCAGCGCTCCTCTCCCCCGGCCCGCGTGGCCGCGTCCCAGTCGCGGGGCTTGACCGCCGTGGAGCCCACACCTCACTCGGCCTGCGGCCCCGCGAGGGCCGGCCTCCTGGGCCTCCACGCTGCACCTGGGCCCGCCCGGGGGAGGCAGGTTCCGCAGAACGGGGGTAGCAGAAGGCGGAGGCAGGCGAGGAGGGAGGACGAAGAGGTGCCCCGGACCGAGGCCCCGAGCATTGTCAAGGGAGGGAGTGGCAGGCCAGGCAGGCGCCCTGGGCAAGAGGCAAGCCTGATGCAGCATCCTGAGCTCATTTGAGGTTAGAGGACCGCCACGACCCGGGGAGGCGGGTGTCTAAGTTAGTTCCTGCTGGGATGAGAAGCCCAACGGAGTAATGGGTGCTGATGGATTTCGCCCCTGGAATCTGAACGAAATGGGTCATTAAAGGCGTTCAGGGACCCCGCTTATGTAGTGAAAATAGTTCACAGTAATTTTCGTAGCCTGTACTTCAACCACTGTGAAGAATCAAGGATTAATTTTCTGGTTTGGATTAGCGAGGTCAGCCTGGTCTTTACAGTACACTGAGATTTTCTGTTGGTGGGAAAATAAGAGGAAAAATGGAAAAGGAAATTCACCACGTCTAATTTGTGTGGTCAGAAAGTCTGACTCTGTCTTGGGAGGGATGGTATCAGGATCTGTACCTACATTCTCTACTTAATATTTTACCACTGCTCTCGTGGTAGGGAATTTGCCATGCTCTAGTTGTTAAGCAGGGAGAACATTCGTTCTGCGACTTGTACTTCTGTTGCTTGTTTTGGGCCCAGAGATAACTTACATTTATCCCCTTTGAATTTATTAAAGTGTTTCTCGAAATTGTTATGGTCACTTTGAACACAATTTCTGTTCCCAGAAATTTTAGCAACTCCAGTATACCAACCCTAGACTTAAAAAAAAATCTGTTGCCTATTGCATCATTCAAATGATTTACGAAGGAGGAACTATTGTCTAGACAACTCCTTACCCATCCAAAGTTAGCCAATTCAATTTGAAGTAAGAGTGACTTGTGGTCGTTACTTACCACCACTCCCAGCCATGAGGTTCTCTAAGCAGAGACTAGGTCTTACCCAATTTATATTCCTAGCAACTACCATAGTGCCTTGTAAATAGTGGGAACTCAGTATATATTTGTTGAATTGGATTCCCTAACAAGTGTTTTTTGCATTTCTATCTGCTGTGAAGCATCAACATTTCCCTTTTTCCCCCCCAGGAAGGGAAAAACATGAGATTTACAAGACTATCATATATTTTATCTAAAAGCATAAAATATTTTTTATTCAAAATTATTGTCCTTGAAATGACCTATATCAGAGGCCAGATCCATATGTTAACATTTCCTCTTTTTGGGACCAGAATCCTACTGGGATTCCTGGGATGAGGAGTAAAGGGATGCTGAGCTCATGGTACGGCACATTACTCAGTTATTCCACAAGGTTTCCATCCCTGCTCTTCTGTGTACAACAAGCACTCATGTTCTTTACTGTCCTTTCGTCTTCCACTTCACCTGCAGGTCAGTGCTGGGCACTGCTGGTAGTAATATATGCTGTAAGAGGTAAAACTGGGCAAACATGTAAAATACTATGTCACAAAACTCCAGAACATTAATTTGTGTGACAGTCACCTCATTATTTTACATATATTTTTTGAACTGATGAGTAGGGTAGCAGTACAGTATAATCAATCATTCATATATTTAAAAGAATGAGACTGCTGCTGCACGGGTAGCTCATAGAAAGGTAAAGACTATTTTTAAAGACCAAATGTTTCATCCACTTCTATGTCTGATTTAGAAAGTGATTTATTCCTACTTTTGCAAGAATTAGTACTGAAATTAATATTAATGGCAAGGAAGACCAGAGCAGCAGATGGTCCTGTGATGAATGGTCACAAGCTTCTCTCTGCTATGAAGTATCTCTTCTTCAGAAATGACTATTTCCATTCCTTTCATGTGTTTGCCTTGTCGGAGGACTCTGATTATGAGCTTCTTAGGATAGCCTTTACTTTATATTTGAGGCCTGGAGAAGTTTGTTCAAGCTCGCATAGCTAGTTAGTGGCAGAGATGAGCCTAAAATCTTGGACCATTTCCAAAAACCATTATTTGCTCTACTATATCACACTGTGAAACTCTTATGTTGATCACTCTGAGTAATCATAAATACTAGATTTCTAACAGCAGCCTATTTGCTTCTGATTGCCGACTAGTTCACTTCAATTCACATTTATTTTAACTGAAAACCACTGCCTTCTCATGGCTGGTCTATTGTCTATAGGAAATGAGTTGGTGGGCACATTCCAGCCCTGTTGAACAGCAGAACCCATCACAACAAATCAATGTCAAAAATGGCATTTCAGGAGGAACACATGCCATTTATTTAGTACCCCCAACAGAGTAGCTCAAAGTGATTTGAAAATGTCTCATTAATCCTCATGACACCCCTGTGGGATAATAATAATATTATTATAACATTTAAGTGTAGGACTGTGGCAAAGCCAACAGCTTCTCTGAGCATGTGCAGGATATTCTTATACCAGTACTTCAGTCTTCAATATTAGAGTCAAAGTAAAACGATCAGCTTTGCAAACAGCAATGGTAAATCTCAGTGTTTGGCCTTTCTATGTTGCTGTAGGCATATCTTGGGTTTCTTACTGACTACAGCAGTACTAGAAATAGCTCACCAGTTGATTGCCAGATGGTAAGCAGCATCTTGGATTATTCCAGAAATGTTTAAGAATAGGACAAGGCAGGCCTGAAGATCCTAATCCACAATTATAGATAAACAAATGAAGAAAGAACACCTACTATGTGCAAGGCATTGTTCTAGGTATTGTGGGGGTATAAAGTTTAAACATAAACCTTGCCCTCAATAGGCTTACATAGAATTGAGAAAATAGGATATAAATCCATGAAAATTTTTGCAATGTTATTAGTTAACAAGACAGTAGTATCAAATGTCACAAGACTCCCTGTGACTATTGTCTATTCTAGCCAAGCTGTCTGCCTTGCTGTTTCTCAGTTATACCAAGTTAATTCCTATCTCAGAATTTTCGCACTTGTTCTTCCCTCCGCCTGAAACATTCTTCCTCCAGATTTTCACATGGCTGTCTCCATCACTTTAGGTCTACATTAAAAATGTCACTTCATCAAAGATAGCTTCCCTGACCACAACCACCTGATTTCAAATAGTTTTCCTTCCCCTTCCCCCCTTGGAAACTTTCTAGTCTCTTACCTGCTTTATTTTTCCTCATTGCATTTATTAACTTGAAATTATATTTTATATTTATTTGGTTACTTGCTTATTGACTGTCTCCTGCACTAAAACATAAATTCCCCCATGGCAAGGTTTTGACTTTTTTATTTCTGTATGCCCCAAATCTAGAACAGTATCTGGCATATAGAGATGCTTAATCAACACATGTTGAATGGAGGAAAGAAAAGGCACAGAATGAACATACAAGGCGCATATATATATATATATATATATATATATATATATATATATATAGTTTTGTGTGTGTGTGTGTGTGTGTGTGTGTGTGTGTGAAAATGTAAGTCAGCTTTTATTTAGGTATACTAGTGACCTGAGAGAGGTGTTAGGCCAACCCATCTCTCCAGTAAACCTGAAGGAGAATGGCCAGGCTAAAGTCATTTCCAAGACTCAGATTTACTGAGGGTTTTTTAAAAAAAATTATTTATTTATTATTATTATTATTTTTATACATTCTAAGATGTTGCGGCCGAGCAGTGGGAGGGGGAGGAGGGGGTGAGGGGGATTTAGTTGGGGTCGCGACTTTTTGTCCTTCTAAAGCTTAACTGTCTTTTATTCAGCAGAACATGAAATTGGAATGAAGATTAGAAATCAGAATTTGAACATTTTAAAAAAATAATTCTAGTAAAGATC